AAGGAAGGAAGGAAGGAAGGAAGGAAGGAAGGAAGGAAGGAAGGAAGGAAGGAAGGAAGACAGGAAAGTAAGAAAAAAAAGTCAGCAAAACATTTTTCCCCCTCATCTACAGTAGTTTGAAATGAGCATAAGGGAAGTTGAAGACAGAGATCAAAATACATATTTAAAAATCTTTACATCTGTTCAAAGCAAACAATACCAGGAGTGATTGACTAAAATGTCAAGCAAGGACATAAAATGCACAATATGCCAAAAGGAAGTAAGAGCTATAAAAAAAACCTAAGAGGGGACAGAAGGACAAGGAAGTAAAACAGGGGAGGGCTGAGAAGAATTTTTTAATCACTAGAAACACACAGGTACAAGAGAACCACCTTAGACATATTTTTAAGAAGCACTCCTTTTCGAAATTCAGTAAAGGCAGTTCAATTTACTGGAGCTGCCTCATTTCTTGAAGCCACTTCCTGTGCCCAGCATAACTTCCTCTGAGGTGACCATTTCTCCTTTCACAGTCTAGACCTCCTTCTGGGAAAAAAAAAGTCCCAGAAAATAGCTATGGAAGAATTTTGTTTCTAACCGTATAAGTAAATTCTCTTGGGATTTTTTTTAAAAAAAAGTATTTTTTTCTCTTAGGTTTTACCAACTAAAGAAGTCAGGTTGATTCACTGAGAGGATAGATCCCTTGAACTCCCATAATTCCACCACAGACCAGTCAAAAAACATTTCACAGGACCATAGTAATGACCAAAGTGGTGATATTATTACCTTCTGATGACACTAAGCATAAGATAACCAAGAATGAAGAACCCAGGTGATACACCCCTGTAACTTAGCCAGGTTTCAGTGTTTGTAAAGCCTCACTGTATTATTTTCTTCTATGTCATTTTGGGCAATTTGCTTCACTTCTCTATTCAGTTTTCTCTGCATAAAATGGAGTAAAAATCTAATGGCTTTTCAGTTAATACATGTAAAACATTTGACACTAAAATATATCTCCTGGGTAACTATCAGGAACTGGTAAGCACTATACTAGATGCCAGGATATATTTAGAAAAGTTCCTAACACATAGCATGAGTCCAATAAATGTTAATTCAAGAGTCAGAAACCCTTATCTGGCAGGAGGTACTCAGATTATTATAAATCTTACAAAGAGGGTGATTACTTAATATACACACATATGTATGTAACTACAGGGTAGGTCTGGTATTCTATTCTAAAACAAGTATGCAAATAATTCTGTGATAAAACATACAGACCTATTGAGCTAAATAAAGACTACAAGTGGCCTCCTGTAAGCTCAGGTCAGGACTTGCTATCAGTTTGTGACAAAAACATTTTCCCTCACTTGTTAGAAGCATTTGGATTGAGATGAAATGGTAGATTTATATTTATTAAGTAAGGGATAAAACTTACTGAAATCTTTCCCTCACTAATTCTTAAGATACTATTGACAAAATAAATTGCCAAAACCATTGAGTAATAGAAAATGGGAACATAAAATGCCTTCAAGCATAGAATATGCACAAGTGGATAATCAATCTAGGTACGTTATTAGTCTAAACAGTCTCTTGCTGATACAGTGTTCCCTAGATTCTCAGTCTGCCAATTCACTTCCATAAACAGGTCTCAAAAACTCTTTTTGAAGTATATTAAGTAATTTTTTTAATGTAAGAAATTTCTTAGGGTTTATGACTATTTAATAATGCAATCCTGTCTATTTCATTGGAAAAAGACATAAGCTAGTAAATGGCAGATGCACAGTTGGTTGAAAAGCATGTTGCAAGAACACAGAATCTTCTGTAGTCAGCCTAGGTAAGAGGAATACTATGCCAAAGTGGTAAGCCACCTACCAAAGAATTCTCTTCACATTGCATTTGAATATTAGCAGCTCTTGTAGAGCCTACAATAACTGGTTCAAGATGTTCTCACTGCTGCTCAGCACTGGACAAAGATGTGCACAACGTCACATAAGCTGACTTATTACTCCATGTTGGTACTTATCTCTCCCAAATTTTCTCATAAGATTTTGTATTTAAGTATTATTATCCTCAAGACCTATGTTCCGTGGTGATCCCATACACAAAGGCAAGTCAAGGAGACATGAAAGGAATACAGTGTTTCCTACTTATGACACTTCATGCTTTCCCCTTCTCCTCCTACTCAATGAGACTGCAACAGAAGGTTTGAATGACATTTATGAACTGAGATCTTAAAGCTAAAGATCACCACCCAACTACTCGGTTGTCATAGGAACAACATTGCATGGCTTATCTGAGTTCTGATAAACAGCCAGTCATTTCATTGGTTATTAAAGCCCCCCTTCAAATAAATGTCACACACACACACATACACATACACACACACACACACACACAGAGAGAGAGAGAGAGAGAGAGAGAGACAGACAGACAGACAGACAGACAGACAGAGACAGTGATTACCTCAATAAAATTTAATCATAAGTCTCTCAAATGTCTTCCTTTCATGTTGTTTTTTTTGCAAAGCCACAGATACAAGTCATTAATATATTTTACCGAATATACCAAAATACTAATACTTTCAGTAACTCCAGGATAGAACTCAAAGTAATGCTTTTTACATGTATATTTAAGCATAATACATTGAGAACAAAGAATGACAAAGTAAATTTAAAAATAAAGCTTTTGATAATTCTTCTGGGATATACTTTGCAACATTTACTATCCCAATGTACATTATATCCAATTTTATCACTCAAGACAATGGCTTCTAAATAAATGCCTGAAGAACATTTAAAGGTTTTATAGTCTTTTTCCTATCCAGCATGTATTTAGCTTAATATTAAATCATCATGTCTTATCCAAGTATTTACATGAAATCCAGAGATAAAAATAAGTATTACTCCCTGCATACACACTAGCAGTAGAATATAAATTATCTAAAAATATTGTCATGCTTTGTCACCATGTCTTTCTCTCAAATGTATAAATTCATGTGTGTCAGGAGGGCACACTAAGTCAAATGGATTGTGACACTCACACAAATTTGTGATGCCAATGTACTGATTTACGGCTGGGTCTGCACCTCACAGTCATACTTGTCTTCCAATTTAAATGGACGTCTTGGGAGCTATTTATGAGCTGAAGAAAAATGATCTTCAAACTCTCAAAGTATGTAAAGTTGGGGGGGATTTACAGAATGTACTGTACTCACTTTCCTCCTCCCCATCTGTACCCCACTCAACTAACAGCAAGCCTGTAGTTTTGCTATCCTGCTATAACTTGCTTTTTTTTAAGTTGGGAATTTTATAATTTCAAAAGCAGCAGAATGAGAATAATTTAATTGGAGATACATAACACAAAATAAACAATATTATACTCTTTAGAATTCAAAGCACAATTCTGTTCATAGGATATAATTATATGCTTACATTCATAAATGAAGATTGCCCAGAATACCTACATAATTACTGACACTTAAAATATTTTCTCTAATTCTATGTAAGTATATGTCACATGATTACTTGAACTGACCAATAAGAAACTGGCAAATCAAGCAGCCACCAACTATCTAATCTTTGCTTGTTGTTCTTAACCTTTCTCTACATTCTTTATTCAGCAAAGCCAAGCAATCAAACATTTACATTTAATATAAAACTGTGCCATCTCACTGTCTTTAGGAATATAGGTATTCAAAGGTTATTGTCTTTTTCTGGAAACCTTAAGCATAGGAACAGCTCAGACTCAAAATCTGAAAACTGAATTTCAGGTTTCAGAAAAAGGAAGCCAGACACAAAGGGACTACACGGCTAAGAGTTGTTCATTACCAACTTCAAATGTTATGGACTATTTGGAAATAGGCACCCTTTTGCTTTATTAATGTAATCAAACAGAACAATTTCAAAATTGGTACATGAATATGAAGCAAAATCCATGACCAGAATCTACCATTCACAATCAGATGTTTTGGGCGCATTGCTTCAACTTTCATTTTGTAAAGATCTAGACAAAGCACTCAACGCAATGGGGAGGGAAAGGAGCAGACTAATTCTGAAAGTATCTCTTCAAATTTCAAATTTGCTTCTTTCAAATTTCTTCAAATTTGCTAGTCAGAATGAATGCAATTTTTTATCCATGGAAAGTTCATGCAGTAACTCAGTACAACAGCCCATTTTGATTTTAGTTTCCTCCACTGAAAAAGTAAGACCTAGTTACAGTACGTATTTGGCTGCACTTGTAACACTCAGCTCATTTTTTTAATTACCTGGTTCCTTCTCGGCCTTTAGGCTATACTGTAGGGCTGCTTGCTTTTAAAATTCCTACCTTTCATGTTATGTTTTTGTTCTACACAGTTGTTAGGGGTCTGTGAACAATTTTGCAATTCTCCCACACACCATATGATATTTATTAGGGACAATGCCACTTTTCACTTACCGATTCTGGAAAATGCAGTGTTTCCTGGTGACAGAACACTGCAGCTTCCGTTTGCCTGGAACTCGTTCTCAGCTTTGTAAATCTGATTATAAAATGGCTTTGTTCTTATCACACAAGACACTTTGCTTATAAAAGTTTTCTAACGTCTTATCTGCGTTTCATTCCTGTGACAAAATGAATCAGACAAAAGGGAAAGAGGAGACAGGGAATAAGTCCACACAAGTTCTTGGCACACATTTTCAGTTACATTTTTCTTAGTTTAATCAGTAAGCTACATTAAAGTTACAGTTACCAGTTCAGGAAGCCAGTTTGATCAAATCAGCCACAAGTAATCTGAGTGTCTTCCACTGGTGTGCAGACCCCGGGGTAGCAATTACTTCATCATCTATCACAGGAGGAATCAGTAGACAGACCCCACCTGCATCCTACCCCTCTTGAGCAGCAGTCAGGGGCTGAATAGACAGTGGACAAAATCGCCTAACCCGGGACTTCTTATAGGGACCCATCAATTAGCTGCTGACCAATCACAACTAACACCTAGTACCTAAGTCACATGACAGGGCAGTCCCTATGACTGTAGGATTTCTGAATTACTGGGGTTATGCAAAGGCCACTCATTCAGGAAAGGGGGGGGGGAGCAAGCTGAAACAGAAAACGCCCTGGCTGCAACAATTCAAGCTTTAAAACAAGTAACACCCTAGCCTCACAAAGACAGAGAAGAAGCCGAGACCCAAGCAGGATAGAAATTAGAAGAATGTCTGGCATGTATTAAAAAATAATCCCAAAGCAGAGGCTGAGTTTAAAAACTCACTTCAGCTGTAAACGTATAGCTCATCCTGCTTCTGCCAGACACACTGAAAATCTTACATTCAAAACTTCATTCTGTACAGTTCAGTTCTACAGAGCCTCGTAGAACCACTGGTAGGGAAATGGGAAAGGGGCATAAGCCTCATTTTCCTTCCCTTAAAGGGCCGAAAAAAGATCCTAAGGCAAACATGTTTTATTAAAACAGTTGCAAACCATAAGCAAGTTTAAGCATCATCAGGACAAATCCTTATGCTAGCTACAAATCATATCCCCCTTCCCTGTTCATTTTGTTCTGTCCATATAAAGCACATTCTTATTAAATAAACAAGCCCACTTCACGAAGTAGCTGCCCATTCATTCTTAATATTTCCAATTTCTTGTAAATACCACCTGAGGAAGAAATTCAATCATGAACACCCTTCCATTTCTTCATTCTCTGAAAATGGTACTTACAAGTGTTCCTTGTTCGGATCTGTCCATTTCTTCTCCCCCTCCATTGAAATTTAAAGTCAATAAATGGGCTTAGCTTCATCTGTCCAAACCAGACACCCCATTTTCCTCAAGCGAAGCTGCAATAGTCATTTCTCCGAGGCAAGCCCAGAGCACTGTGCTGCTTGCCATTCCCAATTTATGGAAGGAAGCATATGTCAAACAAACCAGGTGATGACTCACTCTGCCTCCCCCGGCCACATTTTCCCCAGAATGGGAGGGTAGTGTAAGCGCAGCCATTTGGATATGAGTCAGTTTTATTAGATTGGCAGTTGAAGTTGATCTGACAAGCTCATTTTTTTTTCTTTTCTAACTTTTACATTTAAGGATCACAATGCATGTTTTAAAAGATTTCAAAGCATTTAATCATGTAAACAAGAAAGCTCCAAGATTATTTTTGAAGCCTCAGTGAAGCTCCCTAATATGTAATGTTACAGAACCATGTGTTAGAAATTTTAGTTCACACACAGTGGGGAAATGTGCAGTCTGCCTCATGTCTTTACCAGCGGAGGAACCCGATTTAAATCTCGTGTTGGGGCCCATGTGGCAGCTTCTTCAGGAAGTGGTTAGGGACGTGAGAGACATGTAAGAGGCTTTCGCTTTTGTATGTACTGCAGTTTGCACTCTAACTTGAGTCACTTACATAGAAATAAAAATGTGATAATGACCCTGCCCTGCCCCAACATCTCAATAGTCTTTTAATATCAACTTATTTAAAAACCAAAGGCAAAAACTTGAAAGTCACCAAACGGTCTCTGGAAAAAAATCTCAAATAAACTGCTTAAAAAAATCAACTTTTCAGTAAAAGATAAAGTAACTAGCATGATGGGAGTGGCATTACATGGAGTCAATTGTTCCCAGGTATCACGTAGACAGGAAGAAGTGGAATAATGAGTGCAATTCCCTACACACAAAAAATCTGCAAGGCTCATGCAAGTAGCTGAACTACAGTTATCTCTTTTCAGCATACTTCCTTTAACCTTGACCAAAGTCGACAACTGTTTTGACAGAGGCTTAGCATTACTATTGATTAAACCTTGATGGATAACTAGTTATGTTAGGTAGGACATAAATTCTATTTTTACAACATAACACAATATTCAGATAGCAATTTTCGAACTCATAGATGAAGACACAGAGAACATATACACACTTAAGTAATATAAAAAGCTAAATCTGGGGTTGATCATTCACTTTATTAAAAATTCCCCTGAAATACTTCACTGGAATAAACACCACTCTAAATTTTCATATAGAGTCAGTTTTTAGAAATTAAATCTACACAGACTATTTGGAAGTGCGTTTCTGATTTAAACTTTTCAAGTCTATTTTTACTACAAGCACATTTTTCAACTAGTTATTAAAACTTGTTCATATTTCAGCAGGGATATATTAATCTAACCACTGAAAAACAGCTACCTCCCTATGGTACACAGAGAGCATCAGGTCTATAATTACATAGCTTTCCATGAAAATACAAAACTTTAATAAAATCATACAACCAAAACTCTGGGATCTGAAGAGACCTTTAACATCTTTTAAAAGTCTGGAGAACGGCTAGTGTTTCGATTGTGATTCCTTCATTCCTAGCTGTGCTCCTGAACTGAAAAGCGTTGGAAACAGTGTTTGAGACACACCCAGTAGAGTTATTCTGTCATAAAAAAAAACACATGAAACTACGTAGTATTGATGATGAACACCTGACCAAGCTTTCACTTCATCAGAGTGTTTCAGTATCTGTTTGGACTTTTCCCACCACATTTTCTGGGGTCTCTTAAAGTCACTGCAGAAGGGAGCTAGGAACCAGATGGAACCAGTCAGAGAAAGGTCATTCAAAAACTCCCATCAGAACCAAGCATGGTGACAAAAATCCTGCCATCTCAGTACATGCAGGAAACTGGAAGGTTGTAGGACTGTGGCAGGAGGATAAGGAGTTAGTTCCAAGGCCAGCCTAGGTGAAACCCTGTCTCAAAATTTAAAAAAAATAAAAAAACAAAAAACAAACAAAAACAGAACTCACATTCTAGTTGGCCCAGATGGGTCAAGATATTAGCACTGTTACCAGCCAGGAAAAGATAAATGAGTCAAAGAATTGGCAGGACATTAATAGCCTGTTTCAGGGCAGAGCACTGTCTGTTACCTCCAAGCAGCACCTAATAAGAAGGATAAAGAAGAGCACAGACCAGACAATGGCACTGGGCTTTGATTCTACTGCATGGGCGGACTTTGTGGGTGCCTTGTCTGTTTGGATGCTCACCTTCCTGGACCTGGGGGGAGCGGGGAGGACCTTGGACTACCCATAGGGTAGGGAACCCTGACTGCTCTTTGGCCTGGAGAAGGAGGGGGAGAGAGAGTGAGGGAGGGGAGGGGAGGGAAGTGGGAGGAGGGGAGGAGGTGGAAATTTTTAATAAAAAAATAAAAATTAAAAAAAAGAAGAGCACAGACCTAGGAAAAAGTACTCATGTCTACTCCTTTGCTTTATGCTTTTTATTCATAAGGCCACAATGCAAAACCCCACTACATTTACCTTAAAGGAAACTCGGGAAGTTGGGCGGAAAGCCTCAGTATACATTCTCTGTTAGATTATCTTCAATTAGAAAACGTACAAGAAGCTGAATGCTTCTTGTGTAGCAAGAAAATGCTATGTGTAGCAGTTTAACCACTTCACGAGGCCTCAGGTAACAAAAGCTAACAGTTTCCGGTCAGCGTGTGACATAAAGAATGCTAACAAGGACAGCAAGCATCTGAGGTGTGAGCAGACTATACAAACATGCAGATCCTCAACTCCCCTGTTCTGCAGAAGGTCAAGCAACTGCTCCAACTTCTCTTTAACATGACGGGGGAGAAACAGCATAAGGAAGAGAGGGTGGTTTGAATTACAAATGAATGGCCGGAGAAGGCTCAGACTCGCACCTTTGCACAGCAGCTTGGATCAGAGGCACAGATTCGGTTAAGCTCTGAACTGAAAGTTGATTTGGAGAAACAGCATAGAGTTGCCTCTCTGTCAGCAACTCAAATTACCAAATAATCTGACTTTGTCAGTTCCAGAAACCTCAACTACAGTTCAAGATGAACACAGACAGTCAGAGATCCAATACTGGCCCTGGGAGAACATTGCCTGAATGAATGTGAGAGTTACTTCCTTTCTGATTTTCATCACCTGGAGAATGGACGTAAGCAAGAAAATACAAGAAAGAAAAAGAAATCGCTGTTATCTATAATGCTCATCACATCACCAAGGGTAGCAGCCACCCCCAGTAGTTCTTTTCTACTCCAAGGGTAGGAAGAACAGTCTTAAGCTTCTAAGTGATACTGTTCATTTGAAGGCAAATAATGCCAGGTATGATGGCACATGCCTATAACTCCCTGCCTTGGGAAGCAAAGGCAGGAGGTACACAAAGTTCAATAGTGCCCTGAGCTACAGAGTGAGATCCTGTCTCCAAAACAGAAGAAAAGAAAATTCACTTACTGTTTAGCAAAGTACTCTACTTTGAGAGCACATTAGCTTCATATATAATTTATATAAAATTTCCACTATCAGAATTATCTGAGGAACTTGACTTGCCTCCGTGGCTATGCTATGGGAATGACTCTACAAACATGCATACAAACTACACAGATTCACGTAAGTCACTGGGATCATGTCTTTATGAGGACTGGACTCAGTTCCAAGCTTTTCATGTCATATAAGAAACTGCCTGTCTTCTTGAAATGATTTTACACAGAAGCCGCATACTTCCCTCAGAAAAATTTTTTATTACTTATCTCCTGCCCCACCCATTTTTAAGAACGGTCTGACTCATTTCTTTGATGACAACAACATCGTGGGTGGGAGTGAATACAGGAGTGGGCAGGGTAGGAGGAGAGGAGGGGGGGAGAAGAGGAGAAGGAAAGAGGAAGGAGCCAAAAGCTGAATCACAGCCATGTGAGTAATCTTAGGGTTATTTTTCTTCTTCCTAAGGATATAAATCAAATTAAGCTTGTTTTGCTATGGATGAAGGAAAGAGAATATAATAATATCATGAATCAGAGCAATTATCAACTATGTGACACTCACTAAAAATTAACTACAATCATGGTTTTCTCACAAGCTGTCCAGAAGATGCAAGAGAATTGGTAAATCAATACAATTTGACAAAAATCCCACAAGTTTGAACTGACAACCCTCT